TATATAGTGTTTAGATTTTTAATTACATTCGTCATGTAGTATATATTGGTAGCCAGCGATCTTTGAATTTTTCAGCTAGAGGTTTCGAGTATCGAGTTTGGTCAAACACGGAGCTCGATACGGAAAATGAGAATCTAATCAGACAAACATTAGACTACTGATTAAATGAATAATAATTGAATTAAAGCAGATTATGCTAAGAGATCATGCGGTGACGTTGGCAAGTACCGTATAATGATCTATGAGCTACATCAATGTTTGAGAAAAATTCGGTCCTATAAATAAAAACGCCACTTCAAAAAGAACGAGAAGGCTCAGAACTTAGCGATAAGGAATGAAATTGTTGCGCGGTATCCAGGTGACCATAACTGCAGAGATTCGGAGAGGAACGGTTTGAAAGATATTAGGATGGTGTATAAGTAGCAACTGTCATTTAAGAGCTTTCATTGTTCGATGCATCGTTTATTAATGATTAAGTGTATGTATATATATATATATATATATATATATATTGCTGTTTACATATTGTCATTATTTTCTTCAAAACACAAAACTCTACTCTGGGCTCGCACTTCAATGATGGCTGGCGTTGATATCAAAAAACACCATTTTAAGCATCTTTTATTTGATTGTTCACCTTGGCTAAAAACTTGTAAAAACAACCCATATAGGCATATTATACTATAAAAGAAGTCTATAACTAACAACAAAGCTCTTTACAAATAACTTGCATCATTCAAAAATTGAACCTGCGCCGTAATACAGTTTTGAAGAACTACTTCACTCGGCTTTTCGAGTTCCACAAAAATCACCTCAACCCAATCGCAACGGATATTATTATCAAATGATTGTCTACTTTTTAGCCAAAAGATACACACTGAATGCGCAATGAATTCCATTAGTCACTTTAAACAACTTTTTAAATAAATTAGGAATCAAGAACATCTTCTTGTTACCGGATACACTCGTTTTCAAAGTTCAAACTTTAACTTAAACTTATAGAATCTAGACAAAAATATGATTTGCAGGAAAAGCAACGAAGCCTCCCAACGGTATGTGTACGACCAACCACAAACACAAGATTATAAGGGGTAAAAAAAGAAATAAAAACGGGCCAACTCAATCGCTTTTTGGATGTGATATCATATATATATATATATATATATATATATATTTCTTTTTACTATAGCGGTCTCTAAACAACTTAATCTTTATATCGTACGAATGGTCTGACCGAGTGTTATTACTACATGTTTACATGTTTACAACTAAATTTAGTATTTAGAAGAATAGAATTATCGAAAAGTTTTCAATTGGAACCGTACCCTTAATCTGCACTTTAGTGTTCCCTAAAAAATTAAAACGAGTAGGACGCTGTAGACTCACGTAAATCTGTCCCCTGAGGAAAATGATCGTGTTTCGTCGACCGAAGCTACTGATTCCTACTCAAAAAAGAGGCTCATAGCTCACGTAAGTGACCATTGATATACCCAGCAGGACCTTTTCACCCATCACCTATGCGCTACAGCATTTGAATAGACTGCAAGTGTTAGTTAGGAGATCTCATTATTGTTTAGAGCTGAGTGTATACCACAACATAGTTCTTTTTTGTTTTCGCAGCTTGTTTTTTTTACAGGATCACAGATAAAATATCTTCAAAGTTTGAGAAAGTATGGTGACTCTAGGAAGTAAGTGACACAGGCGAAGTATATAGCGACATGGGGAAAAGCTACCGTATACGAATCGTCATGCCGGTTCAGCAATTCAGCAGTTTATGAAATTGTCATCTAGCGCGAAATGGGCAAAGTGGAACGGTTAAGCAGGACGAATTCTTAAACCGTATTTCTTTTTGTCCCCTTTGACTTTTCTCCAGCTAAGGCTCGAGAGACCTCGAATTATATTCAAAGCTAACACACGCTCGACCGGCCTACCACAACGACAAGAACTCATGCGCATGTCACTTGTCTGTTCTTGACTGTTCTCGCATTTTCCAAAGAGCCTTATTCCACTGAAATTTATTCATTCATTCATTCATTCATTCGGTTATCTATTCACTACCGCTACTCGTTCATTTGAGCGAACGCTTGAATGAACGCGAGGAAAAATCCTATCGCCGCCACTGCCGCTGAAAAACGACGGCAATGGAGGATGCGCCGGCCAGCCGGATGCACTGTTGACGTGCAACCCAAAAGAGCTGCTCTCCATGCAAGAGCGCGCTGTGCGTCCTAGTATGGTCAAGAGAGGACGCTGCATGAAGGTCAGATGACCTACAACACACGCAAACACTCGCTTGCCAATCAGCTGCGTTATCTCTGCTAGCGAAAGCGTAACAGTGATCACTTCTGGACCAAATTTGCCTAGCTAACTGTTCGACCTGCGACAGGTTAGGGAGAGATATCAGTGTTTAGGTTGATATAGTATTGCAAGCTAGCTTCGATATGAACATCATGGTACGAGCTGCTGGCCGTTTGTGTCTTCAACGAGGCTCAAACTCAAGGGCAAATGAAGATTATAGTTGGGACCATCTTCGAATCACGAAAGGATCCTACTCTTCGAGTAACATCTGCTTAAAAGTAACAAATTGTGAGCCAACAGCACGTATATTGCAGTATAAGTCCGTAATGTGTTCAAAATATTAGACACAACAATAATCAGAAGAATATACCGACGGACCCCCCAGATTTGAGGGGCGAATTATTCGAATTCGAATCGAGGGCGAATTCCTGGCGTAAGGGAAGCATATCATATAAAGGGAAGAAAATCATGTTACCTGTTACAAAAAAGTGCTTCAATACCAAAGGTCAGTTCGCGAAAAGATAATAGGGCCCAGTATATAATATCCCTTTTATGCGCCACTATTATCCTTGACCATCCGCCATTAGGATGGCACTTATAGCTCTGCTGTAGGAATCTAAAGTACGAGAATCTATAAAAACCAGGAAAGTAATCTCGACATCATAAAAATGCTTGCTTATAAGAAGTTGTCAGAGATTTTTAAAAAATGTAATTTGTGTTTGGCGTGTATGCTAAATAAGTAAGAGCTCTTAACTATAATTGGTACGACGTTTTTGCTTTCGTTGTTCTTTCGCTGGAAGATCACGTGCTACTGCGCTATAATAGCGGCTTAGTATTTTTTTCTTTGTTATCACTTCTTTACAGCTGTTCAGTCGACAATTCAAGTAAGGATTTATAAAACTATGGTAAATAACGTTTGTATTATAGAACCGAACGTAAGTTTGTGGCTATGTCTAACCGATACGTTTTTATCTACCTGCTAGTATGATCTTCTTTGATTACTGCAAACGATCCACTTTTGGTCACAAGTAACGGTTTGATTCAAGAAGAGGTCACTATTGTAAAACAAGGAGAGGCAAGAGTCTTTATGCCTGTTTTTGACCCCCCCCCCCCTTTTAAATCATGTAGTACCCATTTGTCCAGCTTTTTAGACTTATTGATTTGACTGGTTATTGATTTGTGCACAAAAAATTCAAAATTCCTTTCTCGAAATTTTCAGAAATAATGTCTTACGATATTTCTAGTAGTAGAACACCGAGCACGAAGCCTATCTACTAAAGTGTTTCGTCCACCTCACTATAGTTGCAAGGTAGAAAATTTTGTTCATAAGCAGAAATTTTCTGATTTTTGATAGCTCAATACGATTCTCCCACTAAAAACCTGAGTAACAGTATCTAGGTGAATGGTCTGAAATTTCAAAGACCAGTATTTCTTGGACATCTCCCTCGGTATTGTCCAGTAAATAGGATAAAAGTAATTTAAAACGAGATTAGCGTTTGTCACGTTTCATAGCGAACAGCTCGAACAGATTCAAATGACGCAGAATTGATCTTGATCTTTCAGCCTAAACATGAAAATGTCTGTAAGCCACTTACTAGAACCGGAGATGAAAATATCTGCGTAAAGTTAAGATACTGTTTTCGATCATTAGGCTCCACCCCAACCCTAATGGGGCTAGCAAACTGTTCAGACAAGCTACCATTTTCATATTGCATTGTGTTTCGCTTTTCTCCGCTCTGTAATCATCCTCCGTTGTGTGATTCCAAACTGCGCGGTAGCAGTTGCTCTGCTTGGAAGCGCTGAAGATTAATCGTTTGACGTTGAACGAAAGACTACACACGAAAACTGCAAAGGCCGGCTTCTTCAGTGCACGTACTAAGCTGAATTGTTCAAGCCACGTGCTGAATATATGAAGCAAAAGCAAAAGTAGCAATGACGGTAATGGTGACGTTATCCTTATTGCTTCTTCCTTTCCTATGCCCTTTCGTCGCCGATGTCGTCGTCGTCGTCGTCATCGACCTATAGGGCAAGAGTATGAGTGACCGACTCGCAGCACTTCTTTGCTTTTTCTTTTATTTTTTTGGAGGTTAAGGGCAAATGCATTAAGCAGATGTCTATTACTGCAGGGCATTATTGGTGCAGGATGTAGATTGATAAATGTTTTTACAGGATTTACCTAACTGTAAGTAAGACTGTGTGAACTACCGATCGCTGAAACACTTTTAGGTTATGCAGTTATCGTCTCCGGGCTCGGTCCGACGATCATCGATTGGGAAATAAGCAGAATCCTAGAGATCAACCAGGCCGCTTATTACATCTCTGTAGTCTAATAAGATCTAAGTAGCCAGCAAATGTCTGTCGATTAACCTTGTAGTAATGTATTGCGAGAACGCAACTAGACAAAATTTGTATCTAAGGCAATTTGAAGAGAACCATCTTATGGAAGATGTCGATCAGAGTGTTTGATTATGACTTTGCCGCTTTCCTAAGAATCGTCAAGTTATTTGTAGCTAATAACGAAATGAGCCCATCTGAGTTGAGCGACACTAGCTGAGTCGTGTTTTCCCTTTTTAAAGTTGATATTATCTTACCGTTTGATGGCTGTCAAATCAGTCGATACTTTTGCTCCACTGTGCATAGGTGTAGACAGGGTGACCGTTTGTGTCCGCGGGTAAATCGATGTCGCAGAGCAGGCTCAGAGGCGTGACCTTCAGAACCGCGTCATATACTCCTGTGGCGATCGTGTCATATGGCAAAGAGTGAGCTAAGTAGTTCCTCGACAACGCAGGGCTCGCTTCTTAACGTTAGCGGCAGTTCTAAACGCAAAGCATCTGATCCCGGGAAGATACCAGAGAATGCTCTTCCTTGGAATCAAATTTATTCCATAGCCCAGCCACAAGATGCAGAGCTGTCCTGGTCTATTATTGAATATGCGCCGACTTCTGAAAAATATAAGGATGAAAAGATGTCCGAAAACTATGGAATTATTCGAGCCGGCGAAATTGCGGCTATCGTTGGGCCGATGGGGTCAGCCGTTAACGGGATGGCACTTATACTGTCCGGTTAGCTAAAGATTGCGACTTTTCTATGATTTCTACTTTAGTTACCATAGCTTGTAAGCACTGTACGACTCATTCAAGTATATATATATATATATATATATATATATATATAATAGGCTTTTTCGCGAATGGAGTGCGTACTTCGTTAGAAATTCAGGCTTTCAAGCTTGAATCTCTGACGAACTAAGCAAGAAGTTATATAAGCAGATATTCTAATGGCCCAACGCGAGTTGCTATTCAGTTATTATCGAATTCTACGTCAGCTTTAGCGATATCTTAAGCGGCAAATACAAGGGATTGGGACTATAAACTATTGAAGTCTGGTAGTTTTGCTGTCGGCAGGTGTCGTAACGTCGGTGCTCATCACACTCACGAAACTTAACTTGAATTTCAGGAAAAACGCAGAACTTTATTGGATCTGTACAATGTTCGCCATCGTCGATTACGTTTGTTGAGGATATCTACGATTTTGAACATATACTTCCTGCGCAAATCACTGTTTACGAGGCAGTTGATTTTTATCTTGGCATATGCATTTCCTCGAATTATGGTGACACGAGTACATTTTACTCAGCTGCCACGAACTGTGTGAAGGAGTTCGACCTTGTTGATGTTGGGGATATTCAGTGTGCCAACTTGAGTCCTACGCACAGCAAACTTCTTTATATACTATTGATGCTGCTCAATCCGCTGCCAATATTGATCCTTCATAATCCTGAGCGGTATTTAGATGACTCACAGTGCTTAGCGGTCGCGAACCGTCTGAGCGCTCTAGCCATGGGGGGGCATTCGGTGGTCATATGCAGCACTCAAGTGTCTGAAACGTTTTTAGATGTCTGTAGTTACATGCACGTGTTTCATCATTCCGGAGTCGTAATCTACGGAGGCTCCCCGAAAGGTTTCTCAGCATTCTTGCTATCGCAGGGTATTAGCGTAAATATGTTCAGCAGTGTTTCAGAGAACGTGTTTCGGGCTGGCAGCTTCAGTAAGCAGGTCGTAGACAAGATGGAGTATTTCATTGACAAGCCGCCAATACCGCCCGATCTCGAGACGCCGGAAATAGTTCTGGACGAGGAAGAAACCTCACCGACGTTTATGCGTCATCTCATCCGAACGCTCTTAATGATCATGCGAAATCCGGCCTTACTGTTTGCGCGGGCGGCAGTTGGAATTGTGTTAGCGACATATTGCGCTGTACTGCTCAGGGTAGATGGCCCTCATGCCATATCTAGAATATACGCGGTAATAGTACTTGACGTGATTCTAGTTGTGATCGCAACGGTCGGCCTTGTGGCCGGCTATATTGAAGGCAATTCAGTCGATGTCCTACTTATACAGGAGAGTCAAGCACTAGGTAGATTTAACAAGCCAAACGTTATCATGGCAGTGCGCTTGATTACGAGATGTATGATAGAGCTTTGTACTTCTTCAATAATTGGTCTATTAGGGCTAATTGCTTGCAATCTGCCTGAGGTACTTTCAGTAAAAGCATGTGCGTTGCTGTTCCCCGTCTGCGGTATGTTCTATGGTTTTTTAGGAGCTCTATGCGCAATATTCAAAAACTGCTCATATATATTTCTGCCCCTCGTGTCGTTAGTATTCATGTGGTCCGTTTTGCTTGCGTTAACTCCACTTTTCGAAATTAAAGCAGGACAATCATTTCTATGGCGCTTCTCTTCACCCCTTTACCTTGTCAAAGCGCTTGCGCTCACCGTCGGATCCCAAAATACGCAGAGTAACCGAGCCAATCTGAGATCCTCCGAGAAAAACGTAAGGGATATTAACATGATATTCACTGTTATGGACTTCCGGTTAGTACCGCCTTATGTGACCGCTGCTATTGTGATTTTAGTGAGTTTTCTCACTGCTACGATTGCGGCGTACTATATTTGTTTACGTATACTGATTAAAAAATACCAAAGGTAACTTGAGCATTGTGAATTACTCTAGACTCTAAAAAGGATCAAGTAATCGTCTCCTGAACTATCTGAATATCCTGAACTATTTACTTCAATTGTATTGTTATTACTATTTTGGTTAAGAAGAATAAATTGCAATGAACACTTGTACCTGTTGGACTTTTTTGAATTCTCTATATTGTAAGCGGTGGACTTGTGCGTATAGAGAAAATTTCAATATTTTCGAGTCAATTTGCGATATTCTTTATCTATCTATCTATCTATATATTCAAATTCTCGCTTTTTCGCGCTCTCCCAAAAATACTTAAAAAAAGGAAGTGTCTTTTAGGCTTAGCCAGGCGATCGGGGATCTCGTTGTTCGAAATCGACTGAGGTAACTTGACATGGAAGATAAGCCATTGCATACGACGAATCGTAGGAATACTGCTAGAAATCAGCGTTTTAGTTTAGTGACCAGATACTTAATCATGGAATAACGTACGTCGAAACAGTACGATATACGAATTTGCGTCTGTCTACAAACAGAATGATCTTCTATCACGATTCTATACCTTACCTTGAAAACTATCACGGCAGATTTTTTCGTCAGAGGCATGCGGTTCAGGGACTATGCAAAGCTGGCCATATGCCTGATTTATTGACTGGCCCAGGTTAATAGTTCAATTTCTTCTGAGATTTCAATGAAGGGTATGAGGTAATAAAAATTCTTGCATCCGCCGTTGATTGAACATATTTTTATTGTACATTTCTAAAGAGTAACGGTTAAGCAAGGATTCAAATCCTTTAAAAAAAAGTGTATATATAGTGGTAAAATTTTGGTTCATACTATGAAATTATCTATATTTTATAATACGGTCCAGAAATAATTTAGTAACGTTAATAAAAATAATAATCACTTAACGGTCATTTTTACTTTAAATAAAATATACTTAAGATGGGTAAGACATAAGGAAGAAAGGAACTATACCGGCATCGGACCGAAACACATAAGTGTTATGGCTTAAATAGCTTTCCAAAGGAAAGAATTGTACAATTCTTTTTGTTGTATTGTACAAAAGAAAAGTTTACGACATCTATATCGTCGCCCCATGTAGCAGGGAAACACGAAATATATGGACTACAAAAGGCCGTGTGTGCCGAAATCAAAGCGTGAAATAAACGTTTTTTGTTATAAAAAAGGCTAACATAGGTGCAGAAGGTGATGTTTGATATAACGGCTTGATACGCTAACCAACTTGTTATGTTGAGAATTGCGATTTAACACGCAGTTTAAACGACACATCTCACATTGTATGACAGTGGGTCCCCTGATTATTTATATGTTGAACGGCTTTCACAGCATAGAGTAACCTTTGCCAGCGTTGTTTCCACAATCATAATCGGACGAGTGGACAAAAAATGCTTACTGGATACTTAACTACCTAACGTTTTAACGCTTTTCACGGCCTTCTCCGTGGCCAGTGGCTTAAGGTCTTACACTGCTCGACACTACAACGCAGATAAGTGTCCTCATCCACACAGTTGTCTCGTCGAGGTCTATTTCAGCCTTGAGCGATATGAGTTCGTCGACGAGGCAAAGGCACACCATGGGAAGACCAGTATCGGCCGGTTTTAAACCGACAGGGGGCTAGGGCAAAGTTACGTCACACTCATCGTGTAACATTTGTCGCAGGAGTCAACAATTGAAACCACAAGTCGAATCAGCAACGCACGTGTTGGTTTTTCCATTGTAATCTAGGATACCATCGTATTTCATTGATATGGTCGTTTACTTAGACCTGTACGTTATTGACAATAGGAGTTCAAACCAGGGAGTCATAGCTTGCCAGATCTTTGTTGTTTCAAATCTTTTCGTCGATTGTACCTCATTTTTGACTTGGCGCATGCACTGAATGCTTAACGCACTTCGATACCTCCCCGGGTTTCAAGCATCTCCTACCGCATCCGTTTGACTGTTTGATTCTTCAAAATTCACCCTTAATGATTCACACAAATTATGGTGGTTCGCGAGATCTAGTCCACGCAGCCAACATGGCCCGTCTAGCACCGTTTTTGCCTGTAAGCGTCATGTTTTACACGATAAATTAGAGACGGTACAGTCGATCTCATATCAGACATCGAGTTAGCCACATAAATTATCTTATTATTTATGTCTGTTCTTGAGGAACATTACGTCATTTCGGCTTTTAATGCATATATTTTAGTGGGAATCTGAGCATAAGAAATTTGCCTACGATTCAATCCTTGTCCGTATTTGCCCTGATGTGATTGGGCAGGCTATTTATTAAACAACCAGTTTTTGATGACAGCAACCTGATCAAAGCTAGACTAAAAAGCTCTCAATAGTTTGAGGGATCCACTCAATTTAGCTGCGATCATTTAAGGTGCTCTATAAAACATATTTTGAAATCATGCCGTCTGTGTCATAAACTCATTGTTTCTACTATTTTGCAAATAGTAGATTACGAAACACGAACCCTTTCGGAGACTACCATCCTTCGGCATGAAATCGTACCATAGCATAAAGATATCTTTCAAACAAGCAATTTTATCTTCGTGTGGGCTTACTATAGAAAATTTATCAGCTAAATGCTGATTATTTCAATGATCCTTCATTTTTGTAGGATATTAAAAAGATTCCAAAATCATTGAGGTACATGGCTATAGTTAACCATTACTTATTTAATTTCAATATAAATATTATATAATTATCATTTACTTCAGACATACTCATAAATATAATACAATGCAAAATATACAAAAAAATTAAAAAAAAATACGTTGAGGATTTCGGGTATTTGCAGAACAACATCTGAATGAAAATATTAGAGTAAATGAGGTGTCATTGTGGGTGACTCATTCATTTAAGTTACATTCTGAAAACAGTGAACACTGTTTGATTGTCTTCAGCGGACAATTCGCCGAAGCCTTCGAAGCCTCCCTGTGAGACCGGCATTTTGAACAGGCCGAATTTGTATATTCAAATAGATTTACAGTAGTATAGCTCCTGTGTTTATAATTGAAAGGAAATGCAGTAAGGCTTGTAAGGAAAATTAGAATTATTCTATAGCGTGGGCATCGGAAAATACATAGTAGAATGCACTTATTTCAACTTGTCTGCCTATTTCAACTAAATGAACCCCCAATAAAACATTTTCCCAACAGGACATCGTACATTAAATGGGCATTATATTGTCGATTGTATGGAAACAACTACGTGTCTGTATATGACATTGTGTCGTAAATATTATATTCTATACATGTTATCAGGGTATTTTTAGCATTAGGCACTTTTGTCCTAAATCAATTTTTGTAAAACAACTCATTAGTGACCGTATATGAAGCACGCTAGCAATAAATGCCGAGACTTCTCCGAGACACAGGTATTTAGCTACCTGAATGCTGCGCATAGTATAGCCTATATAAGTGAAGGGCAATACCGAACGAATTTTGAAGACGCTTTTTACATGTACTCGTTTGCAAGTGTGTATTTTTTTTCTTAATTAAACTTAATTTATCTCAACTATTGTGCTGGCATAACCTTATGTTTTACACGCGATTTCAATCTACATTTTACAAATACATTTTCAGGAATTCGTTTGACTGTAGTTGTATGGACAACCCTTGAAGATTGTTACCAACAGTAAGGCATTAAAGTGCCTAAAGGGGAAGGTGGAGTTTTGTCCAAGGTTAACGTGCTGAGCTCTCTACCGTTACCATAGTACGACTTCAAGAATCGAACGCGAGTCCCGACGCCTTATAACGCCTAACCGTGCTAATCGTATAGAGTTCGAACTCCGTAGAAGAACGACCCGCGCTTACACAAGACTATCGCCAAAGTAAAAGACGCATTTCGCGTCCCAGAATTTGTGTCTAAGGGCGTGGCCTGACCTGCCGTATCAAACGGGAGGAAACGCTGCTTTACGTTCCATTATTCCAGGCGAAAAAAGTCAGTAACTTGTATCACTCGTAGAGATCGTAGAGCATAAAGGCCGCCGGAAGACGACGTTCAAATCTACAATGCTAGCTTGGTGTGAGACCTGTCAGCGGCGTGACAGGGATTCAACGCGGCAAGACGCGCTCTATTTGGCGCCAACTCCGGGAAGCCTTTTGGGGCTAGATCCCATGAGCCCCTTAAATATCGGGCGACAAGGTTTTCCAGGTCTTAATGTCGATTAACTGTTGTCCCAGTTTTGTCCAGCTCGTGCGAATCCGGGAGGACATCACGAGCCACGATTTAGGCGCTGGAAGCTGCGGAGAGCTCCTTCGAGCGCCTCACGTCGTAACATGCTTAACATCGCGATAAACCGCAGATTACCTTAGACGGAATTAAATCGGTCATATCAAAATGGATGTCGGTACCCATTGTGCAATGGTCTAGTCGAATGTTTAGTTTAGACGGTCATAGGAAAATTCGCGTTTTTGGTAATGGAAGGACAGCTTGCTCGAAAAACTACTATCCCAAGAGGCACTTTCGCACAACACATCCACAAGCTAGAATCTGAAGAGGACGCCGTTGATCCTTGACCGTCGGGCGGAACTGCCCAGAAAGCCTCTCGGTTGCGAAGACGCCAGAAGGCGGGATGTCACAGAACTGCGCCGGATTCGGCAATAGCTGAAATTCGAGGACGGCACGAAGGTGTTAGTAAAGGTCGAAAGGACAACCGATCGCCGGGACTCCAGCCGTGTTATCTCGGACTATTTAGTATCATGAGTCGACTAGAGCTACACAATTGTAGGTTTGCGATGCCTCGCGGTCAAAGGCTGACCGTGAATCGAAAGGATATACAGATATACTGCATTAGAAAACACGTTTCAAAATTGCGGCCGACTGTACAGATATCGCCGCAAATACTAATACTACGATAGTACCTACTTAAACGTGACCTAGATTTCTCTTTAAAGGCCTGCTTAAGGCCCAATAAATGCGATGCACTATTGCATAAATGTAATTTATTCGCGGTATACCTCGATTTATATAGCAGAACAGACCGAAACATTTATAAAAAGAAAATAATATATATATATACATATATATATAAATGTAGGATTCTTCGTTCGCGTCGCTCAGAAACGAGGAAATTGTCACAGGCACATTAATGGCATGCCTGACACTG